GTTGGAAGCAACACATTTATTTATACCAACACTTAACACAAAGGGGTAACTGCCCCTTTACCAGATATTAGCCTATGGTGGTGGTCCACCAGGCGAACTACACTAACTACACTTGGAGTAGCGACGATGAACTGGACTCAAGCTTGGGTCCAGGTCCCATGTCGGTCTTGTCTTCAGACGGAGGAGTCGCACGTAGATTCTTGAGGATCACAACAGCAACCGGTCCCACTGGGAGACTGACTTTCATCCTCTGTTGCGGGGCTCGCGCCATCCATAGCCACGATCCCCTTCTCGAACTATCGAGGAGGATCTCCGCTTGACACGTGGTCCCCCTTTTGGGGGTCCCTGGGTAGACTCCTCCAGTAACGTGTCCCCCGGGGTCAATCAGAGTGCCATGGCCCGGTGAAACCCCATTCCCAAAGCCGGCACCCCCCGCACCCTATCCTGTAGGGCTGGCACTGCACCCAGCGCAGGGTGCCACTGGCTGCTGGGAGTCCGTGCCCCTCGAGCTCCGCTAGGGCCCGTACTGCATCCGCCTTCGTGGTGTCAGTGATGTCAATGCATTGTATGGCGTGCTTTTCCCAGGCTGGCCACACAGTGACATCCAGCGATGTCGCTGCATATGTAATTACATATATACAGTAGGAATATTTTCCTCGTGTGTATTCTGAAAAAATCTTAATCAGGTCAAGATAAGCTATTTTGGATCAAAATTATTTTATTCGGATTTAAAGTATGATGTCATAGGAAATTAGTGAGCTACATCACTTAACTTACCTGCTTTCTTGGCCAAGTATTATCACGTGGCATCGAATGATGTCACTTGTGAACACAAAGATATGGAAAATTATGAAAAATTACTGGAAAATTAAAAAAATCTCTGAAATTGTCCTTATAATCCCAAAATCTGATAATTTTTAAAATCTGAAACTGATCCTTGCATGAAAGAAAATCAAATCAAATGTTTTGTTATAATGATGGTCTGACCTTCCATAATTTACTCATAATTCTCAACTGTGTAACAGCCTAATATGTTAGTCTTGTTCATTCAGCATGATTTGACATGAAATTTAAAATCCAGGTGTTAAAAGTGTTCTGTGGTTTTCGTAGATAAGTTTTATAAACAAGTTGACACAATTGTATTTATTTTACTCTGCATATTCTCTGTTGGTAAATGAGGTTGACTTGAGGTAAATTACCTTCAGGCAGATTGTCTATGTCGTGACTGAAATGACTTCAAGCATGGTTCACCAGTGGCTATGATGGGATTTTGTCGACCAGCATAACTTACAAACATTAAATATAAGTCGCCCGTGCTGTTGACGGGTAGCATAAATGGTCTTCAGATTTTTAAGTGATTTTCAAGGACAGATGGTGAAATATGAACTTGTGCTTTGCAGTAAGGCTGTAAATAATTTGATAAAATACCGTGTCCTGTGCTTAAACTGAAATACCATAGAGCATTGTGAAATACTGCTTTTTCAAGTTGATGTGATGCTGCAGGCTTTTGGAAGAAGATGCTCAGTTGACTACTGTATAACACATTCCAATCACAGCTCGCAATTCGCTGTGCTATCATACACATGACATTAGAAACCCAGATGGAAACATATTTAGCTACCTTACCTTATTGACATCCTCAGGTCACGTAACTGTATATTCCAGTCTTTCAGGCTGATGAAAAACGGATATGTCTCTCAGGCTTTGCCTGAAAAAGTATGAGAACTGAACACATTTTTATTATAATTACCATTTATGAGCCTGTTTAAAAATATAATCGGGCTGTGATGATTTAGTAGGCCTTTTATATAGCAGCCACATACTATATCTGGGGAAGCTTTTTGACAAATAACAAAGTGCATGATTTTAAATATCAGGCTTCAAAATTGTCCTTTTCCTCATTGTTTTTCTCATTTGCTTGTCACGTTAAACACAAAGTACAATATGTTTTCAAAGGGAATATTTCATTAACAAATGTACAACAGTGACTGCATTCAGGTGGTTTTTATCACCGTCGTTTGAAATGGCAGAAGACCATATTGGTGTGATTAATGGGGGATAGAGAGGATATGACTATAAAAGATGCATTACATAATCCAGCAGGGCCATACGTGCACGCATAGTCCTTGTGATGGATAACACTGAGTTTAGCGTCAATCTGAACAGAGGGCCCCCTTTGACAAGTGAGCAGATAGTGGTGATCTCATTGCATTGAGAAACCTGCTAAGCGGGTGTACTTTTTACATTTCTTCACTTCACTTTTTTGGCTTGAGGATTGTTATTATTTTGAGGCTGCCATATACACTGTACAGAAACAAGGTCTCGAGCTAGGACTTGAGAAGGGTCAGGGAGTCAACAGCAGAGATGGCTGGGGGAAGGGAGTCATAGACCATGGAAGCAGGAGAGGAGAATGAGTAAGCTCCCACTGAATGTTGACTGGAGGCTTCCACAGGACTTGCTGGAGTCGAGAGGGCACGGATAGGAGTATAGTGAGATGGGGGGGGGGGGGTGTTAGGGAAGAGACTGTGAAGAATCTTAAACATGGTAAATATGATCTTGAAATTGGTCCAGGATTGAATTGGGACTTAGTGGCGCGATCAGCGTATAATTTATGGAGCAGCCTGCTAAGGTAATTATTCTTGAGATGAGAGATTTGGGCACGCTGTAGGGGGGAGCGAGTTACAATAATCAAGTCGGAATATGATTGAGGTGTGGATGTGATTGTCGACGATAGCTGAGGTTAGGATATGTCACGTGCAAGAATATGCTGCACAGGTGGAGGTATGAGATCCCCTACAGAGGTAACATGTGGGAAGAGAAGGAGAGCTCGGTGTCCATGTTAATTGGAATGTCCCATGATGCTGCATCCACATGCTCTCCATTCTAAAACTTTTGTGTTATGAACCAAACTTATATTTTAACTAAATCTTGAGTGACATACACAACAGATGCAGTTTTAAAGACACATTTTGATTTAAAATAGCACAGCAAAGGCCTCTCGATTTCAGAATCAGGAAAACTAAACAAGTCACGAAATAAAAACAAATAAAGTATATAAGTACAAATTGCAGAACGACATCAATTCCTGCAGATTTTTCAACACCAAATGCTATCTTGGGCAGGGCAGCAAAACAATAACAGGCCCTCAGCTGAATTCTGCAATAATGGCTCAATACATATTCATTTAAGAACTTGGCGTGTACATATATCTTAAGATCAATTGTAGTCAACTACAGTTATTGTAGTAATGTATTGTAAGAATTGTTTAGATGATCGTGAATGATTTTGATTATGACGTATTCCCCACCAGTTGTGTTAGATGGTTGCATAACCCATGGTGCGATTGCTATTATGAGCTCAAGTGAATTTACACACCTGGGGGCCACTTGGCGAGTGATAGAGGGCAGACTATCGGTCCTCTGGCTTAGGAAATTACGTGGGTGAGACAACGTCGTGGTGCATTTAAGAGTTTGGAAGTAAACGCTACCTCCAAATGGGGACGGGTTGAGCTGAATTGTGCCCAACAGATAATTGTCGCTTTCCCAAGCGTGTGACACGAGACTGATAGTGAAGTGGGCGCTGAGCTTCGCAGTTGGCTGCTGCCTTGCTCAGGGCAGCACGGATCGCCTTCTCGCCTTGTAGCCTACAGCTGTATGTGCTTTTGTGCGGCGAAGGTGGTGGCTCACATTTGAAGGTAATGCAGCTTTGTCCTGAACCTAATAATAATACTCATCTGACTCTTGTAATACATTTGCAGTTTAGGTTCCGAACTAACGATTTAAGTTCAGTGTTTAAGGTGGTTATATTTTTTTTGTGACCCAGTAGTGTCCTTTGTATGTTGGATTCCGTATGGCGTTGAAAATGTATTACTGTGCATGTGTTGTGTTTTTTTATAAAAATGTAATATTTAAAACATTTAAAACTAAATCTTGACCTGCACATCTTACAGTACAGATAGTGAACATAAATTTTAAGAATGAAACAGTTTCATTAATATCCCTATGCTGGCAAGGTATCTTGTGACTGATTCACTGTATATAATGTATATGTTTAAAATAGAATAAGCACACCAATGCATCCATGTATAATGTATATATATTTTTTTAAATAATAATGCACTTGTGGTGTTTGTATTTCATGCATTATAATAAAAAAATATAGAACCATGACACAAAGAATTTAATAAGACTAAAGGTTGGATTTCAACTTTTTTTTCAAATGTAGTCTTGTTTTAAATACAGTGTAATTTGCTGTAAGCTTTGCCAAATGGTGTCACCCAATTCGTTGAAGGCAGAGTAAGTGCATGTCTCTAATGAGGTGGCTGAGAATTAATGTACACATGGCTTTGGCTAATTTATGGGAAAACTCTTCGGTGTGTCTGATGCATGCTGCTGCACGCACAATTGCATTATATTATTATAAAAAAAAATCCAGACACTCTTATTGTACGAACTTGTTAATTATTCTAATAAACGGTACTGCCGTCCCAAGTATGGTTGACGCTGGGAAAAAAAACGTGATTACGATGTTATTGTATGAACGTTATAGATTGAACCACCTGTCATGACGTTATTTTCCCTTTTTTTGGTATTAGAAGTCATGTTTAACTTGTGAAGTAAGTTGGGGTTTTTTGTTTTATTTAATACAATCATTTGCCCCTTAATTATTGGTTCAAACTGTTGGTATTACATAATCATTTAAAATATTACAATATTCGAAAACTATATTAACTTTGCACTGTTGACATTAAGGTTGGTCATGTGTGTTATGTATTCTAGCAGTACATAATGTGACTGGTTAGAAAAAGTGTAACTGATGTCATGTTTCCATTGATACCATCTGCGTCATAGTTTTATATTACGCAGCATGATTTTGTCTGCCATGCTGCACATATAAAAGTTGTTTTTAATATCATTATTGTTTTTGATTCCTACATTAAAACAGCTTGGCTATCAGAAGGAGACTGAGCTGTGGTGGTTGTTTCTCGTTCTTATTTGCAGTGATGAGAGGCAGCAAGGGGCACACCAAATTCTGCTTCGTCTGCCTCCTGACGACCCTGCTCTTCCACGGCCACTGCTGCAATGAGGACCACGGCCACTCTCATGATCACCATGGCGTGAGCCCCGACTCGGCCCAGCAATACGAGGACGACAACGGGCACGGGCACGCCTTACACACGCGTGATGACCCACGGGATGCCAACCCCCCTGACGCGCAGCCAGCCAGCGACGGGGGGGACGGCAATCGCGGCGACCCCCACCACGACTACCAGATCAGCGAGGAACCCTACCCGAGCGGGAACACGAGGCAGAAGCCGTCTGTGAACCCAGTAGCAGCGGCGAAGCAAAAGTATTATTTGCAGCTTCTGTTCTTGCGGTACGGCTCCGACAAGGGGCTTACTTTCCAGGGACTGGAGAAGCTTCTGGTTAGCCTAGGACTGGGGGTTGTGCGTTTTCCTGAAGCAGGCTTCAGAGCTGCACACACCAGCAGTCACTCCAACTCGCATGACGGAGGCCATGCACATGTTCATGCTCGTGGAAAACAGGAAGAGCAGGGCGATCATGGTCATGGCAAAGGTCATGGCCAAGAGCACACGAGCAGTAATGTGCACGAGCAGCAGAATGAAAATGATCAAGCTGTCGCGTATAAACACACACATGAAGAAGTACATGCTCTTGAACAAGACCCAACACCTGAACACAAACGCCCACAGGATCATAACCATGGAGTCGGCCATGACCACATTCATGAGCAGAACCATGATCACACACACGATCATGACGTTGCCCACAATCACGATAAAAGCAGGCATGGTCACAACCAGGCTACGGGAAATAACTCTGTTCCTGAACACTCCATTGGCAGTACAAAGACTCCTATCACACAGCACTTGCACGTGCATGTCCACGCACGTGTAGAAAATGACGGACTGACGGAGAGTCGGTATGTTCATGCACGCACAGATGCCAGCCCTCTAAATGGCACCAGTAGTCAACCAAGTAGCAGAGGGGGGGGACAGTCTCACATGGTAAGCAGACAGTTCGTTCCACACAAGCCCACATCCAGTAATGGCACAGAAATGCTTGTCAGTCAAACAGAGATTCCACGTGCCGCACAGCGTCTCATGCAAAAATCCCCAAAACCATCTCGGAGGAGAATAAAGCAACACATTGGGAAGAGTCAAACAAGCACTGCAGGAACTGCTGCAGCTGCGACCCAGGAGTCTCCATCAAGCACAAAGCAGATTGAGCAATGGTTAGAAAGGGTACAGAGACACTTGGGGCGTGATGCTGATAATCACCACGACATCGGGGATCACAATGCACTGGAGCTGCACGCAATGGCTGAAAAAGGGCATGTGCATGATGAGGTAACCCCTTGGTTTTCTATATCTCGCATGAATGTAAAAAAAAATGTAAATTGAAATTAGTTTTTTTTTATTTTCTTATTAAGTTATGTTGGAAAATGAGAATTAAAGTCATTGCCATAAAATAAATTATATTGGTGATGTTGGTCTTGACCTTTTATCTCTGGCCAATGCTTGCAATGATTAATCCATCTTGGGTACGATGCACAAGATGCATAATCGTGCTAAAGCTCTGTTAGGAATTGGGAGACTCATTATTGTATGTTGGCAAAGACAATTTGGTCAACTGCCATGTCTCTTAAGATCTGACTTAACTACAAGTCATATAACTGGCTTCTAAACTCTAGAAAGCCTCATGTTTCTATAAAACAACGTTCAGTTTGAAAATTTGCCTTCCAGATGCAAATGTGAACCATTACCATTTAAGAAAATATAACATCTGACAAAATCTTCATTAATTGTGGATTGTTTGTGTCAGTTTGAGCAAAATCTTGAGTTATGAACATGTACACACTGCATATTTGAACACGTATGTTCACACATGTTTGCAATGTGCACGTTATGTACCAAAGTGAAATTTAAAACTGATTTTATGCTGTTCTTCCACAGTGCCTGAACGCGAGTCAACTTTTCCAAAACTTTGGCTTGGATGTAGATAGTGCTGTGATCAACACTGAACTGTTCTCCTACCTGTGTCCAGCCATACTCTACCAAATTGACAGTCAGGCCTGTCTCAAACACCCAGAGCCTCCCAACAAAATTGATTTGCCACTAAGCACTGACTCCAACATGCCAGGTACATTTTCACCATGATTCACGATAATGTTAACTTTAAAGTGTTGATTAAAGTCTATTACATAAACGGTGTGTACCTGACTCAATTTATATGACCATTGCATATTAGTTATATGTAGGAAGTTGTCGGCTTTGGATTGCCCCCGTCGTACAGCCAATTTAATTAAATTTAGATTAATTATTTTCTGTGACCATATACTGTAATGTAGGGTCTGAGAAAATAATGCAACTTGTTGTATGACGAGGACGGGCCACAATGCACATTTTCCTAACTTTGACGAAACACTGCTTGTATCAAATACAGTAATCAAGGTGCATTGCGTGGATTCCTATTATCTTTAAAAAAACATCATTGTGATTTATTTAAGAACGTTAATTGGGAAACATTCGAACAATTGTAGTGGCCACTGGAGCTTATCTAATATACTTAGTGTTTTTCGTCTTTCAGTCCGATGCTTTTGGTCTTAATTTTCTTGAATGTTATTAATAGAGCTGGAGTGATTTATTTTTCATTTCATCAGCAATAGCTTAGTAAGATTCGACAAGAGAACATTCATGCATATTCATTAAAGTCTAATAACTTGTTGGAAACAGTTTTTTTTATCTCGAACATCTATAATTAAAATTTAAAATTATTAAATGCATGTTAATTACCAGTAAATGCTTTTTAAATACAAGTATTGCATGCACAATCGCCGTTCTTGATGGATGTCTGCTGTAATGCCGTTAACCTGACCAGAACTGTTATTTCCCATCCCTTGTACTTTCTGCCTAAACAACTGCCTGCAGATGCGTCTGGTAAGCTGCTCACATTTTTATAAGTAAATGCATCACCATTTCTGAACATGTAAAATTCCTGATTTTTAGCTTGTACTGCAATATGATATTTTTTATTGTCAATTCAAATACATGAGTAGTGTGCAATTTGTGCATTGTGCTTAAAATATAACAGCACAACAGGATAACTGCTGTCTAGCAACAGTGAGAATGAGGTTGCTCTTTTTCTTGGATATAAATATACACATGCTTGGGTTATTCTGGGCTGCAAGATTTTTCGTTATTGACAAAGGGAACTATTTTAAAATTATTTAAACATTTTCTCATTAATAGGCTTAACTGAATTTGATATGTACTTAAATTAAAAGTGTGTTTTATTTTCCGAAGGATTTTCTTTCTTATATAATGTCCAGGCATTTGTCAATCCAGTGCAGGATCTATACCTCCCAATGCCATGTTGGTTATTGGACATGTTTCACCATACTTCACCATCTTGTGGGTTGGTTCAGGAGGAGGGGCTAAGACTGTCTTATATATCACTTGTTTCACTGATCACACAGTGGTTAGTGCACTGTGCTGTGAACCCAGTTGCGAGAGTTTGATTGTCAGCCTTGACCAACATCACTTGCAAATGATATCTAAACCAGTCCTGGGCCCCCCTTCAACTACATTAACCAGCATGGTAAAATATGGTTAAACAACCCCCCATGACTAACATGGCATAGGAAAGGCATTGATCCAGTCGTGGATTGACAGAAGGTTGTCAATTGTCAATAATAAAGCTGTAATTCTACGGCCTCATGAGGAATCAAAATGTGGCTTAATTTGTATCGTTTTTGCATCTAAACTTGCAATTCCCTATGTGCTTGATATCCAAGTAGATTGTTTTGGCCTCTTTTAAACATTCCAATATGGAGTCTCTAGGCAATATGTGCACACGAATTCCGCAATATATCATAGTTATGTGTAGTTTCACCATACACGGTGCTATTTTAGCATCCCCATCCACACATCAGTTCTTTCCAGCGTGAAATTGGGTGAGAAGCTTGATATGTGGATGTTTCTCATCTGTGAGAGAGCATCAATGTCCAGTGGCAACTTACTGCCTTAACACTATAAAGGGACCCATAGCCCAACTAAGCTTCACACGTAAATATATCTTGGCACTCGCCATTGTACTGAAGTAAGTGACAATACACGGTGTTTACTTGGGTATCCCAATATGTATATATGTGTAGGAATAGGTGGAGAATGGTATATGGAAGGGATCCATATCAATGTGTGGTTGTCACGAGCTGATGAACAAGTCGCTATTGGCTGTTATTCTTGACACTTGATTAAATGCAATGCAATAAAGTGAATATACACGTAATTTATTTAAGTGTCAAAGCTAATTTTCTGTTGTGACTCTTTGTTAAAGCTCGGTGAACTGTGGTGATGGATTCGGGGCCCACACTGAGTGATTGCCACCACATTTGAAATATTTGTATCTAGATTTTAAACATGTGTGGCTTTAAACATGTAATGACTAGAATTTCTACTAATGGGGCTCCTACTTTGAATACATGCCTTTATAGACAACATTGTAAGAAATAAATTCAAAGGGTTTTAATTAATGTATGAAGCAGAAATTGTAACATTTATGACCATGGTACATTCATTTGTAAGCTGTCGATTTTCATGACAACCCATATCTTGTACAACCTGTAAGGGAACTAATCCTCATTCTGCAATGTTTCGGATTGGCCTTTGTATGCAGTAATGTATGTGTCTTGCTGAGATGTGCATGATTCTCGTTACTTTGCTGTTGCAGCCTGGGGCTGGGGCTTCCTTTCCATCACCATCATTTCCATGCTATCTCTGCTGGGCGTGGCCATTGTGCCGATGATGAACCAGGTGTTTTTCAAGTACCTGCTGACCTTTTTGGTTGCTCTGGCTGTGGGCACGCTGAGCGGTGATGCCTTGCTGCACCTTCTGCCCCACGTACGTTTGGAGCGTGCGTGTGTACCTGCTGCACGGTCTGCCGACCGATGGGTCTCGTTCTAACACCACACACACACGCCGCTTATGTGCATAAGCACAAGAAGCCCTCTTTTCATGCTGCTCAGACTGCTTAGCATGCAGTTATGCAATTGTGCACATTTAGCACAAAAACAAATGCAGATGTATGGAGGCAAGTGCTGTTTTTGCCTTGTACGGTACACAAAGGAGTGTGTCGGAAGCACTGGGCTCGGCCAACTTTGTTTCCAGTGATGATGTTTGTACACTGCAATTCAAACTGAGTTTCATAGGCTAAGTTAAGAGGTTTTTTTTTCCACGAATAAGTCAGTATCACAGCTAATAACTGAGTCGGTATTTTAAAATAGTGCCCTACTTACAATTTTTTTTATGTGGCACATAATTTTGCACATAGCGTGCGTTATCATGAGAATGTATTTTTTCCACTCAGACATTGCAGATTTACACAAGCACTGCTCTTAAGTGAAACTGTGTGCTGTGTGCAGTCGCAAAACTCGCATTCACATAATGGACATGATGACCACGACCACATCCTGGACAGTGACGAGCATCTGGACGGAATCTGGAAGGGCCTCACTGGCCTAGGTGGTATTTACCTCATGTTTATTGTGGAACACTTGCTGGCACTTTTCAAGCACTACAAACCAGATAAGGTGAGATGTGGCTGCAACCTGATGAAAAAAAATGGATATTGGCACTGACATGTTTTGTTTTGCTTGAGATTGATTGCAAAAATATTTTAACATGAGCTTATTTTGATTGAAATTGTATATAGTTTGGAAATACATCATAACCTTTCGAAATATAAATTATGTACAAATTAATTGCTTGTAACCTATCGTGTCAGTAAAATAAATTAATAGTTTTGTGATGTTAATTCCTAGCATAAACACAACATTTAAAAGTTATTTGATTTGTTGATTTTAAAACATTTCCTTTTATGAAAATGTATCTCAACAAAGTAAATTTCGGCCATTGCGTTTATTTTCAGAACAAAAAAAAGAAGAAAGGGCGCAAGGTTAAAGATGCAGAGAAGTGTGTTGGAAGGAAATTGTCCAACCACAACCTGTCTGGCAATACAGAACTTGAGCTGATCTCTGTGAAGCAACACAATAGTGAGTCAGCCGCCTGCCCCTGGGAGTGTGGACATGCTCAGCCGTTCTCTGGCATGTTGAGGCTTTCTCAAAATATGAAAGTAGTGCAGGGTTGTCCTCTGTTGCCTCTTGTATTAAAGGTTAATTTTAAATGTTATGGGAGTATGTGTGCATACATCAGTGTTTGTTTTCTTATCTTATCGATGTGGTTTAAGGTCACTGTGGCTCAAAGACAATATTTTCTGGGACAGGCAGCTTTTTGAAAATAAATGCATTATGTATTAACTGCAGAATGAACGTTTGAGAACATTGCTAGCCTTTATATAACGGAAAAGCATGTTCCTGCCCAGTCCTGTAGGCTTCTGACTCCAGGCTTCCTATATTAGTGTTTGGGCTGCATACATGAATTTAACTCGGTGACATGAGTTTTAAATAAAGTGAGCAGAACAACATTTTTAATATGGCTTAACAAAGCTGTTCACCTTTTGGTAAATGTATGTACGTAACATTCTTAACCTTTTCACATTTAAATTAATCACTGCAAAGCATCATGGAGCATAAAGCGGTTTCATGCCGTTGTAAACAAATCAATTGATCTTAAGTATTAAGTTGATGTTTAATATTGGGTTATTGCTTAGACCATTAAAAGCTGGGGCACATGTTTGGAAATGTAAAAATAGGTGCGACCGAGCATCTGCATATGACTTGTATTGTTTCTCATCAGACCACCACCACCACTACTCTTGCGACGTGAATGGTGCAGCAACACATGCATCCAAGTCACACGAGGACCATCATAACCATTCCGTGCCTCCGGAAGAGGAGGCCATGATCTGCCATGGGTCACACGATGATGAAGACGATCACTATCATGATGAGCAACCGCAGAAGCAGCCAGTGGGAGCTCAAGCAGATGGAAAACAGGTTGGTGGTTACGACATGTCCGACGGAGAGGCGGCTACGCCTACCATGACGACCTCGGCCTCGGGGGTGTCGGACAAGTCGAGCAACCACCACCACCATCACCACCACCACCTGCACCATCACCATTCGCATGGGCACTGCACGGGAGAGGAGGAGGCGGTGGAGGACGTGCGCGATGCCGGGGTATCCAGCATCGCGTGGATGGTCATCCTTGGCGACGGCGTGCACAACTTCAGTGACGGCCTGGCCATCGGTACGCATCCTCACCCGTGCGTCTCATGGGTTTATTGGCATGCGTATGTAGTTGTTTGTGTATGGGTGTCAAACAATTGTTATGCATGCATGTCTGTAAAGAAATAATGTGATACACTGAGCAGAATCGGGTGGCTTAGGATTAACAAAAATGCGTCATTAGCCCAAAGACACCTTTGCCACTCATTGGCGACATTTAGAATGGTGGCCTGTACAGTTCACTTCATATAAACTACAAATTAAAAATATATAGTCTATTGTATTCAGGGATTTGCTTTAAATAACTTAAGCATATTCAATTTGTTCTTATTGACCGAGTGTAAAATTAATTAACCTAACCAAGTAATTTTTGTGGATTGTGCACATACTCTGGTCATGATGAATTTCCTTGCAGGGGCTGCATTCAGCGATAGTACCAGTGTTGGACTCAGCACCTCAATCGCTGTCTTCTGTCATGAGCTGCCTCATGAGCTTGGTAAGAAAGCCACTTTATGTTTGATAATTTTTCATTAAGGCCATAAATGATGGAAGATTAAAATTGCATGCGATGAGGCCCTTATTTTATAACCAACTTCATTAAGTTTTAAATATACTGTAATTTAGAATAAGCAAATGCTCTAAGTTGGATACATGTAAACTGCTTTAAGCTGGCATGTGAGAATTACAGGTTGAGGGTTGTGTTTTGCCATTTCTATGCATATGCATCTCAACTTTTGCTGTTGTATTGGTTCTGTGCAGGTGACTTTGCAGTCCTGCTTAAAGCAGGCATGTCAGTGAAGCAGGCTATTGTGTACAATCTGCTGTCAGCATTGCTGGGCTACCTGGGCTTGGTCATTGGCACGGCGGTGGGGCAGTACACACACAGCGTCACCACCTGGATCTTTGCTGCTACGGCTGGGATCTTTCTCTACGTGGCTCTTGTGGACATGGTGCGTTTGCTGACCATTGAATGTACAGTAATGGCATTGGCTGATTAAATTGCATCACCCTACCACACATAGTCCTTGAGCTACGATCATATATTGAACTTGATGGTACCACCTGAGGTGGCATAACTTTAGTCATTCCAATTTCTCTACGTGACAAATGACACGGTAAGTTACGTGATAACCATTTGAAATGAGTGGGTTATCAAATAATTCACTCGTATTAGCCGTATAAATAAATCGTATAAATAAAGTTTTTCTAACTTAAGTGATACCAATTTCTGCTCTGTTCCATAGACTAGCACAATTGCCATGGTACACTATGGTCTAGTTTTAAATACTCACGGGCCATTTTTGCAATTTAAGCCACTCTATACCTCGCTATGTTATTCAATTTATTCCATACAAAATGTCACGGACATTTAGTTTCATATCTTATATTTAAAAAGTGTAAAGCTTTCTATGTATAGTCCCATAATTGTGCATAGCAATCACATAGCTTGTGTTTAAATATGGACCTTTAGCCCAGATAATTCCTGCCTTGTGCTTTTGATAACAGATTATTTATTTTTCATATTACTGCCCATTACAGCTTCCTGAGATGCTGCACTGTGAGGTTGACAGCCACAGCTATGGAAGACTCGGCTGCTTCCTGCTGCAAAACCTGGGGCTGCTGATGGGTTTTGGCATTATGCTGGTTATCGCACGGTATGAAGAGCACATCAAGATAGACTTAGGCCCCTGAGCAACAGCAAGTACCCCTGTGGCCGCCCTGCCCTTCGTTCGGGCCACTGGTCCTCTCCTGCAAGCTCTAATTTCCAGATGCCACCGTGTTGCTGTATTATTGGTGTTGGTCTCTCTGCCCAGTGGCCAGAAATTGTAGTTTATTTTGCTCCCCCTATATAAAATATACGATGTGGTCTTTGGCATATTCACCTGATATTCATTACAGAAATCTGTATTGTGATCTGGAATCTTAACCATGACAATGTTACATCAAATCGGCTTGATTGTTTGATCCAGTATAAAACATTATTAAGAAGAGCCATTCTTTATATTTAAGTCACGGTATGCTTACTTAGAAAAAAACAATCTGGCTGCCAGCTGTTGAAAAAATGTGATTGGTTGGCTTGAACCAATGTGATAAATTACCTGTGCCATCCATTTTCTGTGGAACTTTTACTACTTAAAACAATATAAATAAATGTCTTAAGTTTTAGATGTGTTTGTTCCCCTAATTGGGTGATCAGAGGCACATGCTAACTTATATTAGGCTTGCACTCCATATTTATTGGCATCAACACACTGAAAAAATATATTGATTTAAAGTATTGATAGGAGGCTTGGTTTAATTTTTAACATCAATGAACTAGCGTTAGTGGAGATAAGGCCGACTATTTGTATCGTGAATATCATTACATTCACTGTGGAAAACTGTTTTATCACACTGGTTCCCTCTGCTATATATCTAGGAGTTGTGTACTGTTTCACTGACGGTTCTGAGCTATCATTCAGAGCATTGAGTGATTGATTGTGATAAAATTAAGATTTGCTAATTTGTATATGTCAGCATAATTTAAAGCATGCTGGGCAAGACTGGTAACCTTCACAAGTTGCACTTATTTTTCTTGAAGTCAACATCATTCAAAATATAACTTGTATGCAGCATACCGTGGCTTATTTTTGTATACTGCTTGCCAGTATATACGAGTCAGCACTTAACTGTTTTACCCGTTTTAATAGTGTGCCATAGACCGTAATACCGTAAGTTTGTTGATCCATCACATTAATTGTTGAGATGAAGGTGGGGAATAGCGTTGAATACTTGAAGGCTGGGATGATAGAATATTTTGTAATCCACAGGGCTCCATGGGAGAAGTTGGACATTATTGAGTGCAGGTTTTTCAAAAACAATATAAAATTTGACCCCAATACCTGGTCAATATCATTTTTGAAATGCATGCGAGTATGCATCTACCCAAGTTGATCAGCTCGTTCCTAGAGATGAATGGTAGCACATTCTGCAGGTTGAAAATTGAGGTGCCTCTTGCTTACTGTGGTGTCCTGATTACGAATGGATGGTTCCTGCCACCTGCACAGCTGTCGAAACTGCAGGAAAACTGGATATTATTACTGTTTTATTTGTTATTTTATGTTCCTTTTGTTACATAAAAATGTGGAAGTGATTAGTGGCAGCTGTTAACAGTAAAACTATTGTAACCGTCTTGTCTGATTTACATGTTAGCAAATGCTTTAGGGAGTAGTATGATGTTCAAATGTAATAGTTACGTACTGTTAGAGGATGGCGTAAATCACTTCAGCTAAAAGCTCTGTGGTTTTAGAGGTAGCGGTAGTGTTTTCTTAAACAAAACAAAAATGACGTGTGGTGTTTTGCATGGCTTGTGTGTGTCCTGCAGCCTTGTTTAATGTTGCTTTTCTGTCCAGAGTAAAACATTCCATGGCAGCTGTACACTGTCTCGCAGTGGCCAATGTCACCGACACCCCTGCCCTGATGCAGTGTTAACTCGTGGAACACCAACTATCTGTCAATCCACCATACTCATTGTCACTGCTAAAAAAACCAAAATCTGTCATTTCTTAGCGATATCCCACAAGTGAGTTTTGAAACTTCGTCAGCATTTTAGTTCAAGAACGGTGGCTATTAAGGAAATTTGCTTAGCATTGGATGCAAGTCAAGAACAATACAAGTTATCATTTCAGCAGAGGTAGCTTCGTTTACATAGGTAAGGCAACTGTATAGGTACGTATATTGGTTATATTTTTGTACTCTGGGTTTGGCCAAATATGACTGGTTACACAATTATTTGTATTTATTTAACATCTTTTGCATTGAAAAATGTTTTGTAAGTTTTTTCCTTGATGCCAGAAATATCACTAGGTTTTGTTAGATTAAATTGTGGAATAAATCATTCACTTTCACTTCATAACTGCAGTTTGTGTGTTTTATACGCAAAAACTTAATTTAATGCGTTTAAAAAATACTCGGAATGTGCCAGATCTCATCGGATCTCAGAAACTAATCAGGGGCCTGAGTACAGAAAAAAACCGGTGCAAATCCGATCAGGCAGCAATTTACATAGGCACTAAGATCGCGTGTAATGCCCTCCCCCCCCCCACCACAACTTGAATTTGCAGTTTCGCTATTCATCGTTTAGGGACATACTTCACACTTGCGCTATGGGGTTTACAGTTGCGCGCTCAAGAAAAAAACTAAACAATTGTTAATTTTTATTTGCAAGAATAAAAAAAGAATATTCAATGAAAATTAATCTTAAGAAATGGCGTCAGCGCGTCATGGCAGCGTCCAATGTCACGTTCGGGCCATGGCTGCCTTTGTTAGCAGCACGTGTGTGCGCGTGCGTGCTGCTTCCAAGCAGTCCAAGAAGCCCTGAAGTTACTCCTTAAACCGTCGTCTCTGTAAGTTATCATTTTAATCGTCATTATTTGTTAGTAAACTCGTAACAATTTTTGTGATGTTCACGTTATTAAGTATAACATCTATACGTATTTTGACACGTGCGTGGCAATGGGGAAAATTGGCTTCGTACAACGCAATTCGATGTGCGCGCTGCTTCGCTAGGAGTGCCCGGTTTGTTTGTTTTTTGCCGACTCAGCCGTACAGGGACTCCTCTACTTAGGAACGAGTTACATACATGTCAACCACATATCAGTGCCTTCCTTATTACAGACAAATGCAGACATTATTGGTCACTCTGTGCCCTTAGAAATATCAACATTCATCCTACAAAGTCCCATAACAAGGGAGAAACACACAAAAAAAAGACAAAACAACATTGCTGCCCCGTATTGAAACGGCTGCACGCCGTGTGGACCTGAAAATTCCCCCTCTACAAGAATACGGGTAAACCGTATGGGTTGACAGATTATGGAGTTAGGTTTCAGAGGTCTGTTCGTAAGTCGAATGTTCGTAAGTAGATGAGTGCCCTGTAACCCCTCCCCCCCACCCACCGCTAGCCAGCCAATCAGCTGCCAGGAATAGAATCCTCATGCAACATGGCTGCCGTTGCATCAAGTGCCCCGTGTAACACTAACCCGCCCGTGATGCAATTTGTTCGTGCAACTTCATATGATTATTATAATGAGCTGAGGTGAGTTGTGCATTGTACACGTTTGTTAATGTTTTATTATTTAAAGTGAAATTTGCGTGCATTTTATTTGTTGTGAGAGTGCAATGTGTGTACATTTACTAGTGTGTTAAGTGTGCGTGGGGAATATCTTTACGTGCGTAAGATTTGCATTTCTCTTTTGCTCGCTCATAGTCTTAGTTAAAAGGCCAACATGATCCTTACGGCGGTACCCCGGGGTACCAAATAACTACAAAGTGGGCCGAGGCAATTAAATATGTTATTTCGGGGACACTGTTGTATTCCCAGGGGTGTTACTTCACTCCGCGACTGGGTAACCAATCAATCCCAAAATCGGTGCCACACTCCGCGATGTCGAAACGCAGCGAGGACGATTACGCCGTGAACCCTGACAGGCACGGCAGTGGTGGTGGTGCATCGTGACTACAGCTCGTGTCGTGGTGTACAGCTTGTGGTGTGGTGTACAGCTCGTAGTGTGGTGTACAGCTCGTAGTGTGGTGTACAGCTCGTAGTGTGGTGTACAGCTCGTAGTGTGGTGTACAGCTCGTGTCGTGGTGTACAGCTCGTAGTGTGGTGTACAGCTCGTGTCGTGGTGTACATCTTGTGGTGTCGTGGTGTACATCTCGTGGTGTCGTGGTGTACATCTTGTGGTGTCGTGGTGTACAGCTCGTAGTGTGGTGTACAGCTCGTGTCGTGGTGTACATCTTGTGGTGTCGTGGTGTACATCTCGTGGTGTCGTGGTGTACATCTTGTGGTGTCGTGGTGTACATCTCGTGGTGTCGTGGTGTACATCTTGTGGTGTCGTGGTGTACATCTCGTGGTGTCGTGGTGTACATCTTGTGGTGTCGTGGTGTACATCTTGTGGTGTCGTGGTGTACATCTCGTGGTGTCGTGGTGTACATCTTGTGGTGTCGTGGTGTACATCTTGTGGTGTCGTGGTGTACATCTCGTGGTGTCGTGGTGTACATCTTGTGGTGTCGTGGTGTACATCTTGTGGTGTCGTGGTGTACATCTCGTGGTGTCGTGGTGTACATCTTGTGGTGTCGTGGTGTACATCTTGTGGTGTCGTGGTGTACATCTTGTGGTGTCGTGGTGTACATCTTGTGGTGTCGTGGTGTACATCTCGTGGTGTCGTGGTGTACATCTTGTGGTGTCGTGGTGTACATCTTGTGGTGTCGTGGTGTACATCTTGTGGTGTCGTGGTGTACATCTTGTGGTGTCGTGGTGTACATCTCGTGGTGTCGTGGTGTACATCTCGTGGTGTCGTGGTGTACATCTCGTGGTGTCGTGGTGTACATCTTGTGGTGTCGTGGTGTACATCTCGTGGTGTCGTGGTGTACATCTCGTGGTGTCGTGGTGTACATCTCGTGGTGTCGTGGTGTACATCTTGTGGTGTCGTGGTGTACATCTTGTGGTGTCGTGGTGTACATCTCGTGGTGTCGTGGTGTACATCTCGTGGTGTCGTGGTGTACATCTTGTGGTGTCGTGGTGTACATCTTGTGGTGTCGTGGTGTACATCTCGTGGTGTCGTGGTGTACATCTCGTGGTGTCGTGGTGTACATCTCGTGGTGTCGTGGTGTACATCTTGTGGTGTCGTGGTGTACATCTCGTGGTGTCGTGGTGTACATCTCGTGGTGTCGTGGTGTACATCTTGTGGTGTCGTGGTGTACATCTTGTGGTGTCGTGGTGTACATCTCGTGGTGTCGTGGTGTACATCTCGTGGTGTCGTGGTGTACATCTCGTGGTGTCGTGGTGTACATCTCGTGGTGTCGTGGTGTACATCTTGTGGTGTCGTGGTGTACATCTTGTGGTGTCGTGGTGTACATCTCGTGGTGTCGTGGTGTACATCTTGTGGTGTCGTGGTGTACATCTTGTGGTGTCGTGGTGTACATCTCGTGGTGTCGTGGTGTACATCTCGTGGTGTCGTGGTGTACATCTTGTGGTGTCGTGGTGTACATCTCGTGGTGTCGTGGTGTACATCTCGTGGTGTCGTGGTGTACATCTTGTGGTGTCGTGGTGTACATCTCGTGGTGTCGTGGTGTACATCTCGTGGTGTCGTGGTGTACATCTTGTGGTGTCGTGGTGTACATCTTGTGGTGTCGTGGTGTACATCTCGTGGTGTCGTGGTGTACATCTCGTGGTGTCGTGGTGTACATCTCGTGGTGTCGTGGTGTACATCTTGTGGTGTCGTGGTGTACATCTTGTGGTGTCGTGGTGTACATCTCGTGGTGTCGTGGTGTACATCTCGTGGTGTCGTGGTGTACATCTCGTGGTGTCGTGGTGTACATCTCGTGGTGTCGTGGTGTACATCTTGTGGTGTCGTGGTGTACATCTTGTGGTGTCGTGGTGTACATCTCGTGGTGTCGTGGTGTACATCTCGTGGTGTCGTGGTGTACATCTTGTGGTGTCGTGGTGTACATCTCGTGGTGTCGTGGTGTACATCTCGTGGTGTCGCGGTGTACATCTCGTGGTGTCGTGGTGTACATCTCGTGGTGTCGTGGTGTACATCTCGTGGTGTCGCGGTGTACATCTCGTGGTGTCGCGGTGTACATCTCGTGGTGTCGTGGTGTACATCTCGTGGTGTCGTGGTGTACATCTCGTCGAGATGAGTCGATTGCCTTGTCGCCGACCATCAACAGACTTGAAATGACTGCATCAGGGACATCGTGTGAGAGCCGGGGTACCACCACAGGTTCATATGGGGGATCTTGTCCATTTGTGTCTGAGGAGAGTGTGTGTGTGATCGTGAACACGTGTGTTTGAGTTGGGTCGGTGTGTATGTGTGATTGTACACACACGTGTGTGTATGTTGGGTCGGTGTGTGTGAGATTGTAGACACGTGTGTTTGTGTTGGGTCGGTGTGTATGTGATCGTGAACACGTGTGTGTGTGTGTTGGGTTGGTGTGTGTGTGTGATTGTACGCACACGTGTGTTTTTTGTTGGGTCGGTGTGTGTGTGTGATCGTGAACACGTGTGTTTGTGTTGGGTCGGTGTGTGTGTGTGATTGTACACACGTGTGTTTGTGTTGGGTCGGTGTGTATGTGATCGTGAACACCTGTGTTTGTGTTGGGTTGGTGTGTGTGTGTGATTGTACACACACGTGTGTGTATGTGATTGTACACACGTGTGTTTGTGTTGGGTCGGTGTGTGTGTGTGTGGGGAGCGGTCGTGTAGCGGTCAGCACGCTACGAACCTGGCGACCCGAGTTTGGTTCCCACTCACGGTCAACAACGGTGACGATTATCTGAACCGGTGCTGAGCCCTCCCCTAGGTCGACTCGGCCTCAAATTGAGTACCCGGTGCGATGTATAAACATCGCCACTGTGGAGACAAAGGCGGCCGGGCGTAGTGCTGGCCACTCACCCCCTCGTGTGCCGTGCCGGCCTTCATAGGTGCTCGCTAACAGCACTTGCCCCATACATCCTAGTTAAGGCTACACGGGGTCATCTTTATTTTGTGTGTGTCTGCATGTGTCTGCGTTCTTCAGAACGTGCGTGTTTGTGGACATGTCTGGGACTAAATAGACAAACGTGAATGTATACAATCGAACAGGTACCAATTAAGAACAGGTGGCTGGATAAGAAATGGAACAGGTGGTAATAATTAAGAACAGGTGGTAATAATTAAGAACAGGTGGCCGGATAATAAATGGAACTGGTTAATAATTAAGAACACAGGTGGCTGGAAATGGAACAGGTGGTAATTAAGAACAGGTTGGCGAATGAGAAATGGAACAGGTTGTAATAATTAAGAACACAGGTGGGCGAATGAGTAATGGAACAGGTTGTAATAATTAAGAACACAGGTGGGCGGATAATAAA